AAAAGACAATTGTGTTTTTTATAAATTAAAAAAACCAAATGAAGTGCATGCTCCACGCTATATATGCATGTATGTATATGCTATCAAACGAGACAACGTTTGGGAAACATTTGATTTTTCTATACCACAAAACAGATCTGGTGACCAATAGGAAGGTGCTTAGCAATAACCTGGAATTAATTGGCCGGTCATTTAATTTTGGCCTTGTCTATTGCTACGTACGCATGTCGTCACATTGCCAACGAAATCACATCGACCAGCTATGAAAATACCTACTCCAAAAATAAAATATTATCAACTCTTGTTTTTGCAAATACCCATATACCGTTTACTTTACTTGACTTTAAAAGAACAATTTAACAGTAAACACGCTTGTCTCATATTTTGAAGGTCGATTGCTAATTTGAATCCTTTAAAATTGTCTATACGAATGTTTTCATTTTTTAAGTAAAATGTAAATATCACATGTACTCAATGGAACGTATTTTAGGAGAGTTATGAACATAATAAATAAAAAACTACTTTTGCCTTAAAATCTAGTTTCTAAAGAATTGGGTACACAAAAGTTTCCAATTTCCAAACAAATTCAGATACGCAAGAAAAGATAATAACCTGTATGATCCAAGCCTCCATATGTTTGTTTGTTTATATATATATATATATATATATAGATGATATCATACATATATATATATATATTATATGTATGATATCATCTAAACAGGACCACGTTTGGGAAACATTAGATTTTTCTCCTCCACAAAACAGACCTGGTGAGACCTGGTGACCAAAGGAAGGTGGTTAGCAATAACCTGGAATTAATTGGCGGGTCGTTTAATTTTGACCTTTGACTATTGCTACGTACGCATGTCGTCACATTGCCAACGAAGTCACAGTGACCACCTATGAGAATACCTACTCCAAAAATAAAATACGGAGTATAATCAACTCTTGTTTTTGCAAATACGTTTGCTTTACGTGACTTCAAATAAAGAATTATATAGTAAACACGCTAGTCTCATATTTTGAAGGTGGGTTAGTAATTTGAATCCTTTAAAATTATCTATACAAATTTTTTTATAGTAATTATTCCATATACAAAAATGAAAACATTACATGTACATGGTATTTTAGGAGAGGTCTGAACATAATAATAATAAATAAATAAATAAATAAAACTTCTTTTGCCTAGACTCTAGTTTCTAAAGAATTAGATAGGGGTGACAATATTTGACATGACACGCTAATACAACACGAGATAAAAGAGTTTGTGTTTGAATTAATAGTAACCGTGTCGATACGAATTGACCGTTAAATAAATGTGTCGTGTTCGTGTTTAATTTTACTAATAAGATTATGACACGATTAATTTGATTAACTAAACGTATCAGAAAAATGTATCGTATTTGTATCAAAAATAATTTAAACATATTTTTTGTATTGTGTCAAGTCTTCATCCATTATTAAATAAGTTACGCATGTTATATTATACGTATAATATTCTTATCAAATGATTTTAAATACGTATTGACTCGAACATGTTCATGCTGTAATCTTGGCGGTCACGTACACAAAAGTCGATTTCAGCTTTCGAATTCCCAATCAAATAAAAGACAAAAGTGAAAAGGGCAACGTCTCAAAGCATGCTCCTCTTGGATGGTGGGTCTCCATCAAGATAATATTCATTAATTTTCATGAGTTAGGAATTAAAATTTTATATTGTCATTACGGACCCAAAAGTCTCCCCGTAGCTGCTGAGTTAGGGTTGGAGATCATGGTTGAGTTGGATTCAGGTTAAGCACATGCTTATCTCAAAATTTTACTATAGCCCTGACATTGACAACTCAAACTATATTCAGGTATTAGGTTAGAGAACACAAGTTGCATTCTATGTTCTGCTTGGTATCACTCATGTGAAATAACTAACGACATATGTGAAGTAGTGATTATGAGATGTTTTAAGAGGTCTAATATTATTGTCATTGACAATAAAACAAAAAAAAAAATTGTCCCACCATGCATGATTGATTTTTCATGATGTTTTAATTGTTGCAGTGCCAAGAAACATTTGTTTGGTCCTAGATTGTGATCTAACCACATATCATGACCTCTGACCCAACTCTGATTTGGGCCTGAAAACTAGTCAGGCCCAGCGAAGAGTCTGAGACACCCAAATTTAGGCAGCTAAAAACTTTGTGGCAACCAGAGAGTTAAGTAGCCTACTAACCCAATTGACGATCCACTGATCCCATACCATGAGCTCAGACCCAACTCTTATTTGGGCCTGAAAACTTGAACGGCCCAACTAGGACACCCAATTTTAGGCAGCCCAAATTTTTGGAGAGATGGTGAATGGTGATGGTGGTGCAGTGGGCGACAGGGTGATGGTGCAGCAGTGGTGGTGACGAGGGGTTGCGGCAGTATCGATGCTGGTAGTGACGTGGTCACGAGGGATTGCGGCAGTGTTGATGCTGGTTGCAAGAGGAATGATGACAGATTGATGATGGATTTAGTTTTGTGTCATTTTTTATCCTTTCAAAAAAATGATATGGCCGTGCATGATTTTTGCAACTTCGAAAATCGTTTTCAAAAATAGTTTTCAGAGTATATATAAAAAAAAGAACAGTTTTTAATTTTTTTAATTTGAAAATGTGTTTGGTTGGAAAAATTACAAAAACAATTTTCAAAAAATAAAAACTCATAAATATACTTGGTTGTCTATATTGAAAATAGCTTCAAGAAAACTAAAGAGTATTGTATATCACTCTTTTATTTATTTTTAAAATTTATTATAGTGCATTATTCTTTAATTAACAATAATTGTAATAATTTTATTGAAGTTCTTACAAACTATAAAAATGTATTCTTAACTCATGAAGTGTATGGAACACAGGGCTTGAAAAAAAAATTAAACAAACATCCTCACATTTTGTTTTCACAACATTGTCAAAAAAAGATGGAAAAAAAAAAAAAAAAACATGGATTGCACTAGTAAAAAAATATCGAGACGTTCTTACAAATTTAAACTGTACACAACAACATTCTTTTTTTTTTTTTATTTTTTTTTTATTTTTTTATTTGCCAATTTATTTACTTACCAAAAATAATAAATATTCTCGGGTCAAATAAAAAAAAAAAGGATTTGTACAAGTGACCATGATTAGCTAGTTTCCAAAAGATCATTATTAGCCAGAGGAATCGCATTAGTAAAATATTTTACTAACTACAAATTTTTTTGCTACCCTTAAAAAAAATCTTTGTTTTTTAACCAACTGGAAATTTTATTGGGTAAAATAAGTTTATTTGTATTTGGGGAAAGCGAATCTCAGAGAAAGAAGAATCGTCAAAGATGTAGATTTGCTGCAACTGAAGAAGTTTTTTAAGATTGATCTGCAAAACAACATAGATGCACGTTTAAGAGAGAGAGAGGCGTGGCGACATGGCAGAAGAGGAAGAGTTCAGCAGAGAGAAAAAGGGGGAAAGGAGAGAATGATACAAAGGAGGAAGAGCAATGCCACAAAAGACGAACAGGGAAGTTCCTGGCACCATGTTCGGTCCGGAGGTCTCGGAGGCGGGCTGATGACAGAATTTGTAATTGGTTGATTTGGCACCGAAGACACCAAAAGTGACCCGGGCTTGGTATGATTCATATTGCTAAGAGTGGGTCGGATGGGGGCAACCAAGATAGAGCAAGTCCTCAATGAATGGGCCCAGGTCCAAGAAGTCAGTAAGGAAGGCCACATTGTGATGAAAGGAATTGGGCCTAAGCAAAAGGAAAGAAGATAGGTCCAGCCCAAGAGTGATTGTAATCGTCTATAAATAGACGGAAATAAGAGGAAAAAGGGGTTAGAAAAAATTGTTTGAAGTGCACCATTTCTCTTTCTAGATTGGGAAATTTCTGTATTTCTTCAATTGGCGCCGTCTGTGGGAAGAACAGCGAGGATTGATTGGTGTTGATCCAAATCGATTCGATTCAGAGCACTTTGCGAAGAAGGCACTTGATCTCTGAAAGCTGAATCAAGATTGATGGAATTGTGATCTGTCTTGATGAATCTCGGTTCCAATTGATTTCGAGAGGTTGGCGTCCGATTAACGCAGATCTGATTTGTGCTTGTTCCGGCGAGCTGCGCAGTTGCGACTTGTTGAGATTGTCGAATTCGGCAAGCTCGTAGCTGTAGTAATTCAAATCCGGCCAGTAATGAACGAAATTCAACAAGTTTGAGTCCAGATCTGGTGCGTTTGCATTAGCAAGGCTCAAATCTGATCAAGAAATCCGCAGTTAATGACTTTGCTCCGATCAGGAATGATGATCGGAGAAGAGAGCTCAAATCCCTTGGAGAATGGCCAGTAGTCGAAGCTCGATGAGTTGATGAACATGATTGAAGCCCTGAGAAAAGAAAATGAAGAATTGCAAGCTGGAATGGAGCATCGTGAAGCTCCTACTATTCCGAGGCCACCTCTGGTAGGAGAGGGAGTCTTACCGTTCAATGCAGTTCATCAAGGTGATCCAGAGGGTGTCAATCGCGTGGATCCTCGTCGTGATGAAGTTTTAGTAGGCGATCTACCTCCAAATGTCCGTCAAGTAGAGGATCGAGAGGGATCTATTCATTTGGTTCCACACCGCGAATGGATCATGCAAGAGGAAGCGCCGGTGTACGATCATAGGGCTACATCGCCGTGGCAAAGTGAGTTTGCAGAAGACAGATCGTTTGATCCACCCTATCGACCTTCAATGGCAACATTTGATTACCGCAGTTTAGAAAGGAGATCTACCGATCATGGAGTTCCATCACGGTTATTAAGGGAGAACAAAGCACTGCGCTCATCAGCAAGGACGGTTGCATCTCCGTTTACTGATGAAATCCTAAACGCTCCAAATCCGAAGAAGTTTTCCATGCCGATTTTCATTCTGTTTAATAGAACAACCGACCCGGTCGACCACATCTACCACATTTAGTTGAAAATGGCTTTGAATACTACAATGATCCTTTGATGTGCAAATGCTTCCTACAAGTTTGGCTGGGCCAACCCTCAATTGGTTTAAGAATTTGGCTTCAGGCTCAAGTGCTAGTTTCCAGGACTTGCGTGACAAGTTCATAAGCCAGTACTATAGGAATAAACGCCCGGCCAAGGATGTTTCAAGCCTTTATACAATGAAGCAGCACGAAGATGAACGATTCCAAGCTTTCCTCACCCGGTTCAACCTTGTCAAAAGCATAGTAATGGAATGTCATCCATCCACAGCAGTCCAAGCGTTTAAACTTGCAATGAACCGAAGGACACCATACCACACAAGCCTGGTGGTGAATACGCCGAAGACCATAGACGAGCTGAACGAAAAAGCTGACGGTTTCGTGCGTCTGGAAGAAGAAGAGGCAGCTAATGCAAGGAAGACATCAATTATTTCAACATAAGAGAAGTCCAAAGCCAAGATCCGGCAAAAACAAGTTCAGCCACAACGCCAGACCTCCTGGAAGGCAGAGAAAAGGCCCAGATAGGAGGAATTGGTTACTCCACTCAGAGTTACCTGGCAAGGCTGTATCAAGAGAACAAAGATAAGTTTTGTCCTCCTTTACCAATCAGACAACCTCTTGAACAGAGGGATCAATCTAAACACTGTGCTTTTCATAGTGACTTTGGACATCAGACTAATGAATGCAGGAACCTAAGGAGGTAAATGGAGATGCTGATCGCAAAGGGGGAATTTGCAGGTTATGTTCAAGGTCCGGCACAAGAGCAAAACCGACGGGCTGAGCAGATCAAGAGAAATCAGAAGCCAAATCACCACAACACTCAGCCCATTCGAATTATAAATGCAATTCATGGCCGACCTGAACAGACAGCGGAGTCAGAGGAGCTGCTCAGAACGCGATTACGCCAGGCCCAATTGAAGAGAAAGATTGACAGTGTACATGCTTTGCATCAGCAGAACGCATTGGCACAGATAAAGTTTGACAGAACAGACCTGCTACGCGTTTAGGTTCCTCATGAAGATCCACTGGTCATCAGTTTGACAGTTGCAGAATGCCTGGTTCGAAGAGTTTTGATTAATCCAGGAAGTAGTGCAAATGTCATGCCCAGAATAACGTTCGACCGGCTCGAGATCGAACCCGAGAAACTTAAACCCACATGAAATCCACTGCTAGGATTTGATGGGAAGTGGGTGGAGCCCATTGGTATGGTAGAATTAACAGTACAAGCTACTAAGAGAGTTCTCACTGAGAGTTTTGTGGTCGTAGAAATTCATCCATCTTACAACCTCCTGATGGGAAAAGGGTGGATTCACAGAGTTCAGGGTGTCCCATCAACCCTATATTAAGTGATGCGATGCTTGGGTCCAGATGGGACCAAGGTGATTGACATTCATAGGGACCAGGTTATAGCTAAAGAGTGTTATTCAGTGACTTTGAAATCTGCTGGAAAGGGGAAAATTCCCATCGGTTCTGCAAGTCCAAGATAGCAATTACAGGAACCTCCACCCAACAAAAGTGGGGAAGAGCCGCCAGTTCTGACCGCAGAACCTCTTCTTGATGTGTAGATCGACCATAAGAAGCCGGACCGAACAACGAGGGTGGGATCTAGACTTACTGAAGAGGATAAATAAGGGTTGATTGATTTCTTGACTCAAAAAGCAGATGTGTTCGCGTAGAGCCATTCAGACATGCCAAAAATTAGTCCTTCTGTGTCCTGTCATTCCTTCAATGTAGATCCGAACGCAAAGCTTGTGAAACAGAAGCAGGGAAGATTTGCTCCAGAACGCAATCGAATCATAGCTGAGGAGATTGATCGGTTGCTCGAGGCAGGATTCATTAGAGAGGTTCAATACCCGGCCTGGCTCCCTAATGTCGTTGTTGTGCAGAAAAAGAATAGGAAATGGAGAGTATGTATTGACTTCACTAATCTGAACAAAGTTTGCCCAAATGACAGCTTTCCATTGCCAAGGATTGATCAAATGATGGATGCCACTACTGGGTACGAGCGATTAACCTTCCTAGATGCTTGTTCAGGTTATAATCAGATCCCCATGGACCCGATTGATGAAGAAAAAACTTCTTTTGTTACCGAACGTGGGACCTACTACTACAAAGTCACGCCGTTTGGATTAAAGAATGTTGGAGCTACTTATTAGAGGCTAATCAGCAAGATTTTCAAAACTCAAATGGGGAGAACTGTGGAGGCTTACATTGATGATATGGTGGTAAAGAGTAAGAAGAAAGATGATCACTTGGAGCATTTACAAGATGTGTTAGGTGTGTCGAGGAAGTATGGAATGAAGCTTAATCCAACCAAATGCTTATTCGGCGTAAGCTCTGGCCAATTCTTGGGACATGTGGTCAATCATAGAGGAATTGAGGCTAGCCCAGCCCAAGCGGAAGCTCTGATCAGAAATGCAAAACCAAAGACAATTAAAGAAGTGCAAGCACTCACAGGTCGAATAGCTGCACTAAGCCGATTTATTTCTAAGCTCTCAGATCGTTGTAAACCGTTTTTTAACACGATACGAGGCCGTGGAAGACAAGCCTGGGGGGATGAACAACGACAGACATTGACTAGCCTGAAAGATTACATGCGAAACCTTCCAGTTCTATCTGCTCCCGAGCCAAATGAAAAGCTCTTTGTATACCTTGGGGTATCCAGGATCGCGACAAGTGCCGTTCTGATCCGTTGCAAAAACGGAAAATAATTCCCAGTGTTTTATATCAGCAAAACAATGGCTGAGCTGGAAAGAAGATACTCAAAGGCCGAACGGATGATCTTGTCGTTGGTGGACGCGAAAAGGAAGCTCGGGCATTATATCGAATCCCATCAAATTGTCGTCTTAACTACTTTTCCTATAAGGATGATCTTGTACAAGCCAGACCTATCAGGAAGAATGACAAAATGGGCCATTGAATTGAGCTCATTTAATATTACATATGAACCCAGAACGGTAATCAAAGGTCAAAGCGGTGGCTGATTTCCTACTTGAGTGTGATGTTGAAGACTTGGAGGAAGGTTATAGTTGTTTCTTATGGAAGCTCTTTGTTGATGGCTCTTTAAATCAAATGGGGGTAGGAATTGGAATCAAATTGCAAACACCAGAGGGCACCACGCTGAGCCAAATGATCATACTTGAGTTCAAAGCAACCAACAACGAGGCTGAATACGAGGCATTGTTAGCTGGGCTGAAGTTGGCTAAAGAGCTGAAGATCAAGATTCTAATTGCTTATAGCGATTCATAGCTAATCGTTCGGCAATTAATTGGAGAATACGGAACCAAAGATGAGACTATGGAAGCATACTGAACCGCAGTTCTGTGTGAGGCAAAAGACTTCGATCAAATTAAGTTCATTCAGTTGCCGAGAGAGTATAATGAAGATGCCAATCGCTTAGCCTGTAGTGCATCCAGTTCTGGAGAAACACTGGTTAGGGTCATCCCGGTTGACGTGTTGATCCAGCCGTCCATTTTTGATGAACTGCTCGATCCGGGCGCTCAGCAAGTTAATGTTATACCATATGAGCCGAGCTGGATTGATTCGATCATGGCTTTCGTACGTGATGATGTGCTGCCCGAACAGAAAGATGAAGCAAGAAAATTAGGTCCAATGCCGCGAAGTATGCTATTATGCGTGATCAGTTGTATAGACGGTCCTTTTCGGGTCCATACTTGAAGTGTGTTACACCAACAGAGGCTAGACAGATCATGTGAACCATTTATGAAGGTGTATGCAGAAATCATTCGGGAGGAAGATCTTTGGCACACAAAGCAATGACACAAGGGTATTTTTGGCCAAACATGGCATGAGATGCAGAAGAATTCTCTAGAAGATGCGATAAATACCAAAGGGTCGGACCATTGATCCACCAACCACCTGAAGACTTACACGTAATGGCCATGCCATGGCCTTTCGCACAATGGGGGATGGATGTGGTTGGCCCTCTGCCGACTGTAAGATCGCAGAACAAGTACGTTCTGCTAGCAACAAATTACTTCACCAAGTGGGTAGAGGCAGAGCCATACCCTAGTGTTACCCAAACTCAAGTAAGACGCTTCATCTGGAATAATATTATCTGTCGTTTTGGCATACCAAGGTCAATTGTTATGGACAATAGGATCAATCTCGATAGCAAGTAAGTGAAGGAACTACTGGAAAAATATGGAATTAATCAAAAGTTGGCAACAGTCAACCATCCCCAGGCTAATGGTCAAGTTGAGATCACGAACAGGACAATATTTGTTTGCATCAAGAAGAAGCTCGAAGATGAAAAAGAAAAATGGTTAGACGAGTTTCCGAACGTCTTGTGGGCTTACAGAACAACCCCAAGACGGCCGACCGAGGAGAGCCCATTCGCTATGGCGTACGGTACCAAGGCAATGATACCAATTGAGCACTTAGTTCCAACCGTTAGAAGCTTGGCGTGGAATCAAGAGCAGAATGATAGAATGTTAAGGTTTAATCTTGATCTGCTGAAGGAGAAAAGGGACGTAGCTACAATAAGGCTTGTTTCTTATCAGCAGACCCTTGTAAATAGCCATTACAAGAGGGTGAAGCACAGAGACTTCGCCCTTGGCGATCTGGTTCTGAAAAGGAAGGTGGGGATAGTCAAAAAGATGTTTTCGCTATGGGAAGGTCCATACAGGATTACAAAAGTCATAGGGAAGGGGCATACGTCCTGGAGACCATGGCAGGGAGGTTGGTCAGTAAACCATGGAATGCCATGTCTCTGAAAAGGTATTACCAGTAGATGTAGAATTTAATTCGGAATAGTATACTCGTTTTGACTTGCATACTTGCAAGTGTATGAAATTCTCAAGTTTTATAAAAAAAAGTTTATTTTGCTTAAAATTAATTGGCATTCTTCCCATTTAGCAAAGTAAGTGATGATTAGCAAAGTCAACCAAACGTACAAAAATAAATAGATGCCGAGTGGCAAGTGGCATTCTAGCCGAGCGCTGGGCACATAGCAGAGCAAGTGGCAACTGGCATTACGAGCCAAACGCCAAACTCTTGCATAAAAATAAATATATGCCAAGTGGCAAGGGGCATTCTAGTCAATCGCCAGGCACATAGTAGAGCTAGTGGCAACTGACACTACGAGCCGAACGCCAAACTCATGCATAAAAATAAATATATGCCAAGTGGCAAGGGGCATTCTAGCCAAGCGCTGGGCACATAGCAGAGCAAGAGTACTGGCATTATGAGCCGAACGCCAAACTCTAGCATAAAAATAAATATATGCCAAGTGGCAAGGAGCATTCTAGCCGAGCGCCAGGCACATAGCAGAGCAAGTGACAACTGGCACTACGAGCCGAACGCCAAACTCTTATATAAAAATAAATATATGCCAAGTGGCAAGGGGCATTCTAGCCGAGCGCCAGACACATAACAAAGCAAGTGGCAACTGGCACTATGAGCCTAACGCCAAACTCTTG